AAGACTTGAACTCTTGACATACATGCTGGAAAACACAAGGTAAACCAAGAAAAACGGAAAGGAAAAACGTAAAAAGGTTACGTGTGTGTGTGTGTGTGTGTGTCAGGTGAGTGTGTATTTTCTCTAAGGTGTTGGTACAGGTGGTGAGGTATGTGGGTCGGGTAGCATTGTGTCTTAGGCCCTTGACATAAATACAGTGCCACCACGAGCACTCAACTACGTCTGGCTTTACCCTCCAAGACACAATGGTACGTCTATGACCACCCAACCTCCTGTAGTGATGCTGAGAGTGTCTTGTAAATGTTGGTTTTCTGGTAACTGTGACGGCAAAAGTTAAAGAAATCTTAACGAGGTTTTTCCATATTTTTTTTTTCACTGTTTAACTCTCTGCTGTTGATAGTTCTAGGTTAATGCCATATGAAATAATATGCTCTGGGTATGCTTAAAATGGGTGGCTGAAGCCATAACCATTTCACTAGCAATCACCTAAGAAAATATTAACACACGTCATCCCGAACCCTTTGGTGAAGTCAAGATATGGCACATCCCTGTTGCTGACAAATATCCCAGAATTTCTAATCTCGCGGTGATTATCCGTCCTTATCAACTCATGGCCAGTTTCCAGAAAATATATTTACCGACTCCCGAGTATTTAACTATTTCCATTAACACTTGGTATTCAACGAGCAGACTCTTGTACACACTGTCCCCAACCGAGTGTTGTTCGAGTGTATAACTTTTGGTAACTTTGTCCTTGAGCTCCTTGTCTCTCAAAAAATAATTTTTTGTTTGTCATTAACAGTTAATCTATTGTATGCCATTTTGACAGCAGTATATCTTATTCTTCAAAATTATGTCCGTAAAATATTCTCTACACGAGTGATAAGATATCCAACTTAATACAATAATCAGGGATGAAAACTAAAAGAAAACGTATTTTCTTCAGTTTCTTCTCTCTTGTTTAAAGAAAATGAATACGAGGCAGTTATGAAGGGATACCTACACTAAATAGTAAAATGCTTGTACTGTATTCTACTCTTAAAAATATAATATTTTTCTTCCTTATTCAGCCCATATAATATTTTCATACATACATATACACAACACCTCACCATGCCAGGATTCAAACCCACGATCTAATGATTGTGACCAGGGAACATTACCTCTGGGCCACCAGGACACTAAAAGCAATGCCAGACTGTTATATTTCACACAAAGCCTGTTCAACGAGCTTATGGCGCCGTGAACCTTTAATGGGGACTACCCGTGCCGCTTAGGTAATCAGAGTAACGTTTTACCAAATCCGGCTTCGAAACACGAGGATCCATATATATTTCATTAGCCCAATAAAGCACGCGGACTTCTACATATAATCAACACCTCACCCCGCCAGTATTCAAACCCACGATCTTATGATTGTGACCGGGGAACGTTACCTCTGGGCCACCAGGACACAATCATAAGATCGTGGGTTCGAATCCTGGCGGGGTGAGGTGTTGATTATATGTAGAAGTCGTGTTTCGAAGCCGGATTTGGTAAAACGTTACTCTGATCATCTAAGCAGCACGGGTAGTCCCCATTAGAGGTTCACAGCGCCGTAAGCTCGGTGAACAGGCTTTGTGTGTAACATAACAGAATCTAGAACTGCTTTTAGTGTCCTGGTGGCCCAGAGGTAACGTTCCCCGGTCACAGTCTTGGGCTCGTGGGCCATGGGTTCGAATCCTGGCGGGTTGAGGTGTTGATTGTATGTAGAAGTCCGCGTGCTTTATTGGATCCTCATGTTTCGAAGCCGGATTTGGTAAAACGTTACTCTGACCACCTACGTGATGCAGGTAGTCCCCATTAGAGGTTCACGGCGCCATAAGCTCATTGAACAGGCTTTGTGTGAAATATAACAGAGTCTAGGACTGCTTTTAGTATCCTGGTGGTCCAGAGGTAGCGTTCCCTGGTCACAGTCATGGGCTCGTGGGCCGTGGGTTCGAATCTTGGCGGGTTGAGGTGTTGATTGTATGTAGAAGTCCGCGTGCTTTATTTGGGCTAATGAAATATATATATATATATAATACCTCACCAGTATCTCTGCAAATGTATTTCATCAGATATGTTTAAAAAAATGTCTGTACTTCCATACAATTATCCGAGGGCCTCGCTAATATAAATCAAGACAGAAGCAAACCACACGTTGCTACAGGCGTAACTCACCTACATTTCGGTCGTAATGTGGTACCTGTCTCACGGGACGCTTAGTACCCCTGCTAATTTGGGAAGTGGAGGATGGCATGGGTCAGGAATGTGTTGTGGTCGCCTGCCAAATATCCTCTCTCTCTCTACGATATGCGCTAGTCCTTGCATGTACTCGACCATCAACAAGAGCTATATTGACCAGCAAGGATGACCTTCTCATACAGTCAGTGTTATCTGGTCGTCACTTTTTTTCCGACAATAAAAAGTGAATTAGTGTAGTTGCAGCAGTGACATTTACATCAAAGAAAACGAATATTCATGCTGCAAAGTATAGTAGAAGATCTGAATTTCTTCTGTAACACTAACTTAAACATGTACAGTAAATACAGTACGTTGTGAAAGGTTATAGGTTATTGTGATATATCATATATCTGCTAAAATTCATTAACAAAAAAGGAAAACACATTCTTCAAATTTTACTGAAACTTAGTAAAATATATAGAGGGAGAGAATAAACAAGGGAACTTATTTCAGTTTAGGTGACAATGTTTTCTTTTTTATTCTCGTTTAACAAAACTATTCGACAAAATCTAATTTACTCGACCTGTTTGAGTATTTTTTTTTACTTTAATTAAAACTTACAAAATTTGTATTACATCAGCTGGGCAATGATAGGCGAGAAATTTTTTAATTATAAAGAATTGTACAGCACGAAGCAACTAAACTCAACATTTAGAGATTAGTTTAAGTTAGATTATATTGGTTAGGTTAGATAAGATTCAATCGGTTACATAAGGTTACATTGAAATGGTTCGGTTAAGTTTTATGTGATTTGCCCGTGTCATCATCTACCGAAGACCCGGACGCGATACACGAGTAGAGAGTGATAGGGGGAGGGGGAGGACGTAGCTAAAGAGAGACGAGATGGAGAGGTGAGGAGGGAGGTTGGAAAACCAATAGGAAAAAAGAAAGACAGATGGGTGGGAATAGAGAGAATGTACAGAGTATTAATGTGGAGGGAGAAAAGTCCAATTAGCGTCACCTCTACAAACACCATGGTGAGTGTCGGCGCCGCAATAACAACCATCTGAAATAGATAAACAAATGATTACTTACCAAATAACCCTTAAGGAATAAGATCAAAAGGCCCAAAGAATATTACATTCTGTTACACTGCAGGTTCTTCGTTGTGTTATATAATGAATTATAAGAGAAGAATTATTGAGGTTACAGAAAGGTGGGGCATTTTAACTGTTGTTTAGTGTTTAAACGACTTAAATGACGAGCTTAAAGATTTATTAAGATAACAATAGAGAGCTTGCGAAAAATACTATATTTATCTTTCATTTTTTTAGCACAGTAATATAGTATCTAGTGTTAAGAAGACCTTGATCAACAACAAAGAGATTTGTCTTCCGTTTTAATTTTTAAAAGTTGTCTTTTGTAGAAAGTAAGCCAGGTGTTCATCTATCGTCCATGTTATTGTTGTTGCTGATCGTCTTCCGGCTGTAGTTAATGGCTGGTCAGAACTGTCAGTGAGCAGACAGTACATGCCTCCCTCACAACATAACAGGACGCCGACCATAGTAACTCTCCTGGTCAGTAAACTGATCTGTGGTGTAGAAACACTTTGGTTCCAGTAAATACTTGTGTTAGTTTATCTTTGATACTTTCATGATCATAAACTTGCAACTAATAAATTCATTATAAGTTTGATCACGAACATGTTCCGTTTGGGATATTATATTTATTGCATACATCTCGAAAAGTGAATTATGTCATGTTATGAAAAATAATAATAATATACATGAAAAGCGCCCATTTTGAAAATATTGATGACTTTTTCATTCACCTGTGATCGATTGGACCAAAATTCTCCCCCCCCCCCCTTCATTTCCCCTTTCTCTTCCCATTTCTCCTCCCCTGATCCCTCACTTCCCTGGATTGTACTGTTAACCAAAGTTTCATAAAACAATGGTTCTAAGTACTTTTGTCACCTCTTCTTCCTGTTTTTCTCTTTCTTCTCCTATCCCTCGCTCCCTCTATTACCCTTATATTTCCAGTTGTCATCTTCCCATTTCTCTCTTCTCCCCTCTTCCCAAATATGATGTTGACGTCAGCTAAACATTCTGTATACAATGGTTATATATATATTCATATGATGTCCATATATTCTGATTATATCAATAATATTAATCATCACTATTTTTTCACACATTAAATAATGTGAGAAAATTTAAATCTGCGAGGCCCGACTACCTCAAGGGATAGTGTCCGATAGCAGGATATTAACAAAACTTTATACGGTAATTATACTCTCTTACCAGTATTAAAACAATTCATCTTACCGCGTCATTCTCGGTGCTAAATCGAAGACGTTTTAGCCGCTCCTTTTGCCGTAGTTCCGGTGGACCATTTAGATGAATTTTCACGACCACAACCAAGGGAAAACTAACATACGATTCATGAAAGTCTGGGACGAGAATAGGGACCAGTCACAGATTCCTATTTTGGGGTTCTTGTATACAGATAGTGGGCGGTGTGACGCAAGGCCGGAGCGCGGCGGTGCGTCATCATGGGGGAGGGAGTGAGGTAGTAAACGGAGTTGTTGAGGGAGTGGACGTGAATGTACTCTTACGATATGAAATTTATTTTAGTTCTTGTTGTCATATCACAGTAAATAAAGTTTTCTTGATTCTGAATTCCTAAAGAGGTTTTCTAAATTAATGGTAAACATTTGTTTTCTATTTAAATGTTGTTTGTGTTACTGTTTTCTCTAAAGCGCAAAGATTAATTCCTTTTTCTTTCTCCTTCAGGTGACGTCGACATGGAGTAAACCCCCCACCTGGACCCTCTGCTCAGAGCGGGGGGTCCAGGGCGTATGTCTACACAACACAACCTTAGCAACTTTTAGGTAAGAAGCAGACGCTGATTTTCAAATTAATCTATATTCACAAATATGTTTACAGTATAATGTCCTACATACTTATTGTGTTGCTTCATCTGTCGAACATGTATTTAAAAACGCTGTTGAAATAATCTATTTTGTATCTGTAATTCTAACTAACAATACATTTCATAGTCTTTTGTTACGAGGTTTCATAGTTACCCCTTTATAAGCTCCCCGATGTTAAAGTTGCGTGATGCACAATGAAAGAAAACCGAGTTAGTGAAATGTGGTGCGTAATGACCGCAGAGTTAACACATGTAGCTTCTCTCGCTTTGTTTTTCTCTCGATTTATTCAATATATCTATCATCTTTCATTGTATTATCAATAATTTTCTCATGAATAAGTGTACTCCATATATCATAAAATACTTAATTTAACTCTCATCCAAAGGAAACAGTATGAGGTAAGCCAATAGAAAGTATTCACCAGTACTTACTGTATATTGACATGGAACAGAAAATTTACATATGGATTCTTAAGACTCTAAGCCCAGATGGTTTAACTCCCGCTTTCTATGAGAGCAGTCGCCCATGCCAAGTCTGGGTATACAGAGTACGTAAAACGTCCCTTCCTACCTTGGCTAACCTGCATTGGGATTCTGAAAGGTTTTTATGTAGTTTTTAATCATCCCTGGAGAAATAAAACGCATTTAGGATACGATAGACCTTTGATGCAAGATTGCCGGTATTAAAACCTGTCATTGTTGTGTTATACTGTAATCAAGTCAGTCAGGTACGTTTTCACATCTTCAGGTCTTCAGGTAGCTAGGTGAAGAAATTTGCCCGTGCAAACCCTCGAGAGCTTGAATTATACTAAAGGTTGGTCCTTCCAATTACTTCAATATTGCTCTTGTATCACCCTGATAAGAGAAGTTATCTGCTACTGAAGACTGTTACCAATACGTCTTCCGTTGTGAATATACCTGATTTTTGCTGGAAAACGTAACCATTTGGTCTTTCTCCCAAGTAAAGTTCCAATTATTACTGGCAACCTCATCATTCTGTCTCCACTAACAACACACCAGCCTCGCCCTTACTCTCTCTTTCTGTTCGATAATACGACGTCCTTTGTCTTCTTATTTTTCTCTCTGGTTATTTTCTTCGTTGTTCTACCTCTTTCTCACTTCTATTTCTTCCTTTGTTTATTATTTTTCTCGACCTTAATTTTTTCCGTTTCTTTTCTTACATATATCTTGTTTTTACTCCTCTGATCTATCTCCTGCTATTCCACATTTTTCAACTTCACTTTGATTCCCACCAAAACCTTCATCACAGAATGGCAAACTACAGTGACGTCATGGCCACTCCCTCACCAGCACCTCACTAGTAAACTGTGTATGGACTCCTCTCCCATTTCGTCAACCCACTGGATCTGGATTCACGAAGCTTGCTATTATTAATGTTCTTCGTAATTTCAGGCGTAAACTAAGCAATTTGCTGGCTGAGTTAATCTAAATCACAAAAAATAACATCGAAAAATGCTATCAAAATTACACTAAGACTACACTTCAACTAGATACGTTCACTTTACTTAACTTGCCAGTGTGCGGGTCTTAGTGAATTTGTAAACAGGGCCCTAGATGGCTTTACTGCGCCTCCTGCTACCTAAGAGCTCAAATCACGTGTAATAAAATGCTCTCTCTCTCTCTCTCTCTCTCTCTCTCTCTCTTTCTCTCTCTCTCTCTCTCTCTCTCTCTCTCTCTTTCCTTGTTGATCTATAACCCTGATATATGCATTCTGGTTTTTTTTTTCAATAATACAATGATATCTTCAATCTTCTTCGTTTCTCCGTTATCGAATTTCTGACTGTTTCTCCTCCGTCACTCATTTCTATCTCTTTTCCCTTTGTCTATATTTATATATTTCCTGCTCTCATTTGTTTTTAATTCTCTTCTTAACGGTTAATCCTTCCTTCCTTCCTCCCTCCCTTCCTTCCTACTTTCCTTCCTTCTCTTTTTTCTTCTTAATTTCCCTTTTTTCAGTCTCTTTTTCTCCTCCTTGTCGTCTCCATGGCCTATCCTACCACCCCATAGACACCCGCTCCCTCCGACCCACCACTTGTCCTCCCCTCCCCCGATGTCACTAAGGAGGTAGTGAGTGCCAGGTCTTGCTGGCGATGGCACTGTGCGTGGTGGGCGTGACGTGGGTGGCAGTGAACAGGTACTAGTGACCCGCTTCTCACTATGTCGGTCACACATACAAACAAATACACACACACACAAAACACACACGCGCGCTAACACTGCACGCACGTACACAAAACACACACACACACACACACACACACACACACACACACAGAACACGCACATACAATGCACACACACACACACACACACACACACACACACACACACACACACACACACACACACACTCACACACATTCACACACACAACACACACACACACACACACACACACACACACACACACACACACACACACACACACACACACACACACACACACACACACACACACACACACACACACACACACACACACACACACACACACACACACACACACACACACACACACACGCGCACACTGCCAATTTAACTATTTTTGTTCACATCAAGTTTGTATTTCAATAAATATGTGGTGCCCACTTCCTGGTTGTTTTGATTGCTAACTAATCCCTTCATTACGATGTCTCCTTATTTATTTTAGTCTAACTACTACCGGACGATTTTATTCAGCTGTGAAAGTCTTATCTCGCAGTAAAGGGTAAAACAAAACTTAGCTGCTTCTACAGGATATAGATTTAAACTTATCCATAAACCATTTGCCCATAAATGCCCCCTTTGCAAAGGAACACCTTATTTAGAACAAGACTTCATTCACCCTCTCATCCTGCTGTAACTTTATTATTTTTATCTGGCCAGTGCTAGACGATTACACTCAGCTAAGGAAATTCCGTCGGTATTGTCAAAGTGTTATCCTGCATTTTAATCTCTCCCAACGATATACACTTTCCTCCTCACCCCGACCCCCCCGCCACACACACAGAAAGACACCTACCCCGACATACCCCTCCTCTCCCTCCTGCTCATCAGTGTATGATTCTGATTCACACTTCACAGTTCGGGGTTTACACCTCAGGGGAGAGAGATTAGCATCGCTAAATGGTAAATGGAGCCAACTGTACAGTGTATGTTCACCCCAGGCCCTACACCCCCATCACTCGACATTCTCCACACCTCCAGTGCAGCCTTTCCTTTTTCCTGTGATGAGATTAATGATGATTCTCATAGGGTTGAGAAGGGGAGATTTTATGAGAGAATCCCCAAGTGATGCCTGCCCCCCTTACATCGACATCAATTTGATTAGTGGAGGAGTTAATGGAGACTGACTGAAAGGTGTTTTTTCATGTATCCATCCACCCTCACCTGTTGTGCCCTCTCTCATAAGCCTTCATAATGTGACTAGTGGAGGTTAAAATGGGACTTGGTTAGGAATTCATTGAAAAGCAAATGATAACAGATGCCTCTGTCTCATGCCGGTCATCCTACTTAGTACTTACTCGAATGGAAATTTGTGGGAAGGAGGTTGTAACTGGACAAAGCTTTTTGTTATGATCCTCAACTTGACAAGATCAAATAAACAAAAACTATTTAGTATATATAAGAAAGAACATTTTTGTCTCTTATTTCTCATTATTTTATATCTTATTTTTCGATATTGTATGTTTCTTATTTTCCATTATTTTGTTTCTTATTTTTCCTTATTAATTTATAATTATTCATTGGCCTCATGTTATGTATTGAAGTTTCCTTTGGGTTCATGTAGTCATCAGACACTTTAGTTAATCTCTCCAGTACTCCCATGATAAAAATATTGATTTTGGGATGTAAATTAAAAAAAAAAATTGTAAATTGTAAAAAAAAAATTTTTATTATATCTAACATACACTTTCCTAAGAAAACTCATATAATCCAAAAATATAAATAAATGGATAAGTTGGCTTTTCCGCCTTGTGGAGCAAATATTCAGATGATAGATTGAACCAAATCAAACTTTTTTTTATTCATGGGCAGTTTGTTTTATCCGTGAAATAGATGGGGAAAGGTGATTTATAAGTTCTCTGTATAAACGCTGTCTGTATATATGCTGAGTCACTGTAAACTACAGTACTATAACGCTAATATTATATCTGTTTATCATTATTTACCAATCGGTCTGTATAAACGAGAAACATAAATTCTCCAAGATTCGACCTTCACTTTATTCCATTTTCTAAGACAGGGGCGCCACCAGCAGTGTGTGGGACGCGGGTTTTGTTTTGGTAAGCTGAGAGGGTCTGGCCTCCCCGCCATTGTGTACATAGAAAATAGCAAGAAAACTTTGCGCTGTCTTCGCTTTTTAAAACTGGAGCGTGTGGCCGTGTAAGATGTGAGGAGACGGGGGAGAGGGTGAAGATAATTGTAGCGAAGGAACATTTGTGGGGGAGAGGGTGGTGGTGGAAGAGATGAGTGATACAGTAGAAAAGGTGTGTGTGTGTGTGTGTGAGAGGAATGGTGGTACATTATTCGGAAGAGGACTTGTGCTTTTGAGAGAAATAAAAGTTTAAATATGAGGCGCAAGACAAGTCGTGTGTGTGTGTCTGAAATTATGTTTTTCTGGGTGTGCGTGTGTGAAGCAAGGGCGCAGAACTGTACATGTTAGTTACTTCAGCAAGAAATTACAGTATGCTTGGGGTATGGCTTACCTGGTGTATGCTTTTGCACGTTTGTTTCTTGTTCGCTGTTCAAAGAATGTGTACATTTGTGTTAGCATGCCGTTCCTAAAGGAGTACAGTGGCCGAATGAGTATATCGCCCACCTGTTCTGTGGGTCGCTAACATATCCGGGGCACCCTCAGGCTGCCCAACTGTCAACGGGAACCCGGTTTTAGTTAAGACGGCTTCTAAAAAGTCCCTTGCGGTGTTTTTACCTTTCACACACCCACACCACATGGCC